GGGCAAGAAGAAGACGGCCAAGAAATGAGGGCATTTGCCGCGTGCATGATGTCTTGTTCCAATAACTTCTGGGTTTCTGTAGCGATATGAGGATTTGTATCTGGTGTTCACTGTATTATAGAAAGAGCATTTACCCATCAACTTTCCAACGTGTATTATCCTGTTTTCTTTTTTCTTCTAGGGAGATACTGGCACACAAATGCTATATCAATACTCATGTTTCATGGCATTTTGACGAGCACAGCCGAGCAAAACCGAGCAACAAGGCTATTTATTATCTAAATGTCAATTTAGAAAGAGATATATTAAGTCATTGCTTCTCTGTTTTCGCTTTTGAATCCACAACAAGGGACTCAGGAATCCCGGATAATCTCCGCCGCGATCTTCTCGGCAAGCATATCTGTGATGCAGTTAGCACTTGGTAAGTCAGAGAAATAACCGGGAAACATACAAACAGTCGACTGAGGATGACCAGGAGGAAGGAAAGGGAATGCACTAGCATCAACTACGCGCAATCCATCCACTCCATAAACCCGGGCCTGGGAGTCAACCACAGCCATATCATCATCGGACGTTCCCATCTTGCAAGTACAACTCGGATGCCACAAGGTCATCACATTATCCTTGATAAACTGGAGGATCTGATCGTCAGACTGGACCTGCAGTCCGGGGTTATACTCCTCGCCGATAACCACGGGCTGCATAGCTTCACTCTGGAAAGCCTGGCGTATTCGCTTGAACGTGGCAACGGCAACTTCTTGATCGGCCTGATCATCGAGCCAATTGGGATTGATCACCGGCAGATCTGAGGTATCTGCGGACTGCAAAGTAACATTTCCTCGGGACATAGGTGCAATCAGAACACCGATAATTGAGGCATATTGGTATCCATCTCTTGGCTGGATTGCCGGGAGGTTTGATACATTTCCGATATACCCTGCGCCAGACATGTACTATATATCTGCGTATGAGCAAGCTTTCTATTTATCTGAGGGAGTATTTCTCACCTCTGCTTCGGGCCAGTCAGATGGAAACTTGGTCAGTTTACTCTGCGTTTCCGCAGAGAAAGCTGAGCGCAAGAATCGCGGGATCTTCTCAAAGGCCACAAAATCTGCGATTGGATTTGTAACGACTCCCTTTTTGAACAGTAATGCTTCCAGAGTTTGACCAGCCGCATATACCAGATCGGTAACAAACTTGGTGAATGTTGTCACCCGAACTCGGTACGAAGGTGCAAAGAACGGATGATCCCACATGTTCTGACCGACCCCCGGCCTATCAGCTATAACTTCGATTCCGTGCTGTCTTAATTGGTCGGGTGGTCCAATACCAGACACCATGAGTAGCTGGGGGGACTGGAAGGCACCAGCCGAGATGATAACCTCTTCCGATGCCGAAAGGGTGACTGTATTTCCCAGCAAATCTTTTACTTGAACTCCTATTGCTTTCCTCTTCTCATCAAACACCACCTTCTTCGCAAGGGTGTTTGTATAGGTCCGCAGTGACTTGGGCTTGATCTTAGACAGGAAAGATTCCTCGGAGCTGCTTCGGAGCTCGTTGGATGGATCGATAGTCGAGGCACAATACTGGGCTCCCATTATCTCACCCAGGTTAAAGTCCTTGACTTGGTCAATGCCGATGGCCTCCATGCCAAGGCTCATCCATGACGAGAAAGGCTGGGCGAAGTTAGCATACGACACCTGTAGTGGACCACCGTCCGATTCGTAGGCATTGATATCATAGTCCGCGGAGGCATTTTGAGCTCTATAGTCGGTGTTTGGGGGCGTGAACTGCACGCTCTTCTTGTAAAATGGGAGCACTTCGTCAAATGTGTAACTGCTGTCGTTGACTGACTCTGCCCATGCTTCCATGGACTCGCGTGTCGGACTGCATGATCCCTGTTAGTCAAGCCGCAAGAATTTAGTCTCCACGGGGATTTACCGTTGATAGGCCATGAAATTCAACGCTGACCTACGCACAAATTAGTTTTGATCTGATATGTCAGATTCGGAGAGAAATGCCTACGATCCCCCAAGACATTTCCCTCGGGCGAAATGAATCGCCCGCCTATTAGCACCCGGTTGATCTCTTGTCACAAAGCCCCAATCTTCCGGTGATCTGAAAGTAGGATCTGATCCCATCGCCAACGCATCAGCTGCAGGGAACTCAGCCACAGACTCAAGTTCGTAATATCCTCCAGCTTCGATCAAAGCAACTTTGAAGTCGTTCTGTGCCAGTCGGGTTGCGATCACACTGCCGGCGGTACCGCCGCCAACGATCACATAATCGAAGGTTTGGTCGACGAGGGGAATATCTCGTCGTTCTGAAGGCGCAGATGTCACGCAACTCACCTGCAGTGTGAGGAGGACTAGAGTGAATTGGAGCAGCATCGGGAATAATGGTGCAACCGCTGGAGACTTGAGACAACATGCGGCGGAATGTTACAGCGAAACAAAGCCGATATGTACAACTCTCAACCGGACTATTGAAATTGTTGCATTAAAGTAGGCCCATCTCCGAAGATCATCCAGTTTTGAGATATACAATATATTCGGTTCTTATTTTATTGGATTCGCCGATCCGATGCACGGCCCAACCCTCGTTGGCCGGGTACCTGTCCAGGTATGTAACCTTCCAAGGTTAGAAATACGGCTGGCTCAAAAATAAGCTTAACCGCGGCCCGTCAGCCTATCCATGGATGCTTATTCCAAGGTTATTGAGGTCACTCGGTTTATTTCCAATGTTACATTACATATATGGATATATCATAAGGAACGAAAGAGTTCCTCCGAGAATTTATATTCTCTACTCAGCTGCTTTTGATGCGTGCTATTAAGCTGCTCCTTGTTCAAATCATTAAATTTGTTTTAAGCCAAGCCAGAGAGTTCATCAAGCTGCTCTCAAATAATAGAATCCATGATGCCAAAACAATGACTACGTTTTAAGAGTCATTGATCGTCGGCCGTGTAACACGATGTATCTCACTGCACATTCCACCATACGAGGCATCAAGTACTTGCCAGTCTCGTTCATCCGAACCCAGTACAACATAACTGATATATTTCAAGTTATATGAAACTTCTGAAACTCGAAGTGACAGGACTACGTAGAACCTCCATGTCTGTTTCCGCCCCAATCGCCAAGTATACTAACGCTGCGAAACGTCCGTGCGCATTTTAGGTTAAAACGCCAACCCCTGATTATAAGACCCTGTAAGAGCCCTTTAATTTATGTAGAGTCCTGGTGGCTTAATATTATCTTTTCCCTCATTCGAATTTTCAATTCTGCGCCGGATATTGGAGGCCATACCTGACCTCTACTAGACGTAGACATCTTATTACAAAAACATCATCGGGAGAACAGATATCATCCATGAAGAACCCGTTGCACAATCCGTTGCCTGCCTCACTATCTAGTATTATCCCCCGTGCCAATGCTACCCACATGGCTGACTCTGGGCTGACCATGTTCCACAGGCGAGTGCAAAAAGGCCGCTGCGATTCTCGAATCCTTTATCAACCCGAAACTCAAAATCGATGGAGAAATCCCACGTAAGATATTCGCGGGGGCCAAGGTAAGAGATGTCATATCGAAAACCGGCCCAAGTAACCACGACTTACATTATGCCAGGGTATCGCCGTATTCACAGCGCTTAGAGTTGGATTCCTGGGCTCGATCCGTTTTGGCTCGGGACTTATTGTCGCCCGTCTCCCAGATGGCAGCTGGTCTGCCCCGTCAGCCATGGCAATGGGCGGCCTCGGCGCCGGAGGCCAATTTGGCGCAGAATTGACGGATTTTGTGTTCGTTCTGACTACCGACGCAGCAGTGAAGACATTCATGCAGTCGGGAAACCTGACTCTCGGTGGGAATATATCCATGGCCGTCGGGCCCATTGGTCGGAGTGCCGAGGCTGGGGGAGTAGTGGGAACCAAGGGTGCAACTGGGGTATTCGCCTACTCCAAGACCCGTGGGCTATACGGTGGTCTCACAGTCGAGGGTGGTGTTCTTGCAGAGCGTGCGGATGCAAACAAAAAGCTATATGGGCGGAAAATCCGAGCAAAGGAGCTGCTGGGCGGATCTATTCCACCACCACCTGAGGCAGGAGTTCTCATCGAAGTTTTGAATGGGGACTTCTTCCGTATCGATGAATATGCGGAACCAGCCACAGAGAACACTGAGCAGTCAGGCGAACAAAATCCCCAGGATTCTACGCAACCCCCTGGTCCGCAATCACAGGGAGTTGTGACGCATACTTCTAATCAGTTAGCAGTTGGTGAGCTAAGCGCAGAGCAGGCGTCTGGAACTGGAGAATCACTTACCAGAAATTCTCATGGTGTACTCCACGAGGGAGGTGCTCAGGAGACAACGCCCACTGCCGAGAGCAAACCCACTACCGAATTAGGTACCGAGGAAGCAACCGGGGACGCTGAACTATCCAACAAAATTACCCACGATGCACATATGCCAAACTTACAAGAGCCTGTGTCTACTGCTGAGCATGTTTCAGCTGGGGGGCCGAGTACACAATTGGTACCTAAAGGCAAAGAACCGGCAGCTGGGGACTCCCACGATACCTCATGAGCTAGATACCCCGGGCCATATCCCCGCTACTGAGAGGCTATCTGGCAGAATAGATACCACTCGTATTGTGATTCGCTGATTACTCAACTTTTTGTTGGGATAATGTTGTATTAGTTTCCTTCTAGGGTAGATGGATCTCCAAATCGAGATGTCCAACTAGTCTTGCGCATATACCATAGTAACTCCTAGATAACCAGAGTGATCTTCCACCATAATCTTACCACCTCACTTCATAATCTTTTTATCTGGAGTCGGTTGCCTAATCATTCCTCATGAAGTTTATAGACAGTTGGGGGAGTCTCGTTCCTGATCATCTTACTGTCGCCCGTAGCACATTAATCCTTGGTAGCAGCATGCAGGCGGCTAACTTCAAAGCGAACGAAATCCTGGCAAGCATTCTCGAGCAAATCGAATCCCGACTAAGTGCAATCAACTTCAAAGCGTTTTGTCCATTCAACTGCCTCGGGACCACCACTCGTACTGACAGCAAGAACGAACTGATGGAGTTGGATGATAAGTGGGAGATTGGTGGTTCCCAAAAGCTCGACCAGTTGGCTCAAAGCGGAACGCCACTCGTCGACAAATTGTATCGGATCCACCGATGGGGTGTAAACACAGCTAGTCCATTGGACGTACTTGGAATGAGATTGATGGAAACCTCTTCCAGTGAAGCAGGCTTGTAGAAGTTCGAAGGCAATGCGAAGGGTCTTAGCAGGGGCGATGAGTGCCTGTAGTTCTACGTCGACACTGACATTGATGGTTTCAAGAAGCTCAAAGTTAATGGCGGGTCTGATAGATCTGTCGTCCTTGAAGCAGGTAATAGGCCCATCGATGATAATTGGCCAGTATCTCGTATCCTGTGTATCAAGGGCCCGCTTGATAAGTTTAGGCCACAGGAGAAAGTTGCCATTGCCGCAGAGTATAGGAATCATACGAAGAATTTCGACTAATTCAGTTGTGGGGATTGAAGACAACGAAATGGCAGATTCGTTACAAGACATGGCTGAATATGTTAAAGGTGAACCGTGTGTTTTAGGTCAGTAGGTCCACAGGCATGGTGGGACAGAGTAGAAAGATGAGAAAGTACAGTGGTGAAGATTAAGTGATGCCTCGCAAACTGCCAGAAAATGACAGAAGAAAAAATAAGGGTGAAAGGTTGTTATTATTCCCTCTATATAGTTACTAGCACAGTAATATCTTCTGCGGGTTATTAAAAACTTCTCTCTAAAGCTTAGATATTAGTATTAGAAGACTGGAAGACAACCTGGATCCCGTATTAGTAGGGGTCATGATGTTTCACGATAGTAAATCCCCTAGACTATTCATTATCACTTCCACTATTTATGGCTAATGCTAGAGCATGATGTACTATTTCTCGAGAACTTTGCTAACCAATATAATTTTCCTCAAATCCTACATACTTTCTTTAGGAGGATGTTGCCCTTGCTAATAAGCACGAAAATAAAGCGCAGCAGTTCGGAAAAGGGGAGCGTGGTTCATATTGGTATGCTGATGGCGAAGGGTGTGTTTACAGTCTGAATAGATCTATTAAAGAATAAATATGATAAATGACATTGGTATCAAGAAATAGCACAAGAAATCACTCCTCGAATAACCGACCTAAAATCAAACTTTGGCAAACAAACTCATTGCCGACAACCCTCGCAGTACATGTCAGCTCATTAGGGGGTGTAGGAGTGGACGATGCAATCGACTTCCTACGCTTCTTCCCGTAGAACAAATGAATTCTCTGCGTCTTCAGTTTAGGCGTCAACATCGACTTTGCAGCAGCTTGGTCTGCATCATCAACATAAATCCAGTCCCAGGTAGTCGACACACCGGCATCAGACTGTGAGTCTATCAATGCCCTGGCCGTGCCGAGATCAGGAACCCGCTCAACGCGGGAAGCCCCTAGGGCATAAGTCAGGAAGATGTAGGCTTTCCTCTTTTCCTCTGCCTTTCCACGACCCATGACAAGGAGCACCGATTGCCCCGCGAGCAACTTTGTTCGCGCTGAGATGGTGTCGGCGAGTCGGGCCGTGGATGGGGGGTTGGGAGCCATGACTCTGGACTTGGTCGCTCCGTTGAGGTACATTGAGTCGCCGGCTGGGAGGAGATAGATATCCCAGTCTAGGACGCGACCTTGGGAGATACAGTCCTCTACCCAACGCCCAGCCAGACATGGGAGGTTCAATGCGAGTGCTTGCATATATTTTTCCCGTCGAGAATGGGTATCAGCAATTAAACAAGCAAAGCCAACGTCATCGGCGAGAGATGTAAGACGAAGACCCTTGTTATTCAGGTCTACATCTTTGGCTCCACCTTTAGTGGGAGTATCAACAGGAACAATTGACGAAGGCTCGAATAACTCAGTAAATCCATCATGTAATACAGTGCCGCCATTTTCGATGATCAGCCTAGTCACACGGTTTTTGGAAGCTTCATCCTCCTTGTAAGAGACGGCAAATACCATCCCAGCGAAAATCCCGCTACCTTGATGAATTCTGCGGGACAAACGAGAACTGGGCGAAGCAGGCGCGGATGACATTTCAGATGGGGTATGAACCATGCTCTCTTGTTGGACAGGCGCCGGGCGATATGTGAACATCCGATCTTTAAGCTGATTCCACAGGATAGTGTCAAGATAGACACGAGCAATAGGTACTTTGATCACATTCTCGCTGTTGCCCATCCCTCCATTTGGCAGACTTTTCCGTTGCTTGGGACCGACTATCACAGTAGTATGACCGTAAATGTCGGTTATAGGATAAAGGCCATCGTCAGCAGCTTTGGCCAGCTCTTCTCTAGTGAGCTTGTCACCGAATCCGCGGACGATATGAGTGACTTTTGGGACATTATCCATCTCGATTTTAACAGAGTCTCCGACACGAAGCTCAAATCTCTTAACGGCACCCTTTGGCACCTCGACAGGAAGACTGTCCTCAAATTTCACAGAGTATTTAACCTGTGACATGCCCAGTGGTGTTCCAAAACATGTCGCTGGGTAGTATGCCCGTTTCTGGCCCATCCAGACAGAAAGGACCTGACTTGGAGCAACCACCGTGTTTTCCGATAAAGCGTGAGATGGCCGAGGTGTGGTAGGAGGGTTATCGATGCCGTTCGCCTCTGAATTAACAATATCATCTGAGGCAATTGTCGACGAGACCTCGGTGAGTTCCGATGATGGAGGTGGTGGTCGACTATGAACGACAACCTTTGGTGAGGGTGCCGATCCCGCAGTAAGTCCAGAGCTCTTTTCTGGAACATGCTTCTTCTTTTGCGTAGACATCGAGGTAGCCGCCTTGCCAATTCTTGATCTCCTGCGGAAGGGCTGCTCAGGCGAACCTTCAACTTCCCAAACATTCTCGGGAGCTCGTCGCGGGGGCTTTGATTGCCTTCGCACAGCTTTTTCAGGGAGTTGCACCAAAGGCACATCATCTGAATCTTCGGGAACAGCAGCTGGCCGTTCTTGCGTCGCTCGAATGGGTGCAACGGATTTTGGGGGCTGTATGCGAGGCGTGAGAGGTATGATAGGGTCGGAGGCAATATAACTCGAGCCATCATTGCCGCGCCGCTTCTTCTTCGGTCGAGTCGGCGATCCATCAATCAAGGCTCTGAACTCTTGATCCTCAGTAGTGAAGATCCCAATTCCCATATCAAATCCTCCTGCCCCAACCTGCGGGGAAAGATCTGCCGCAATTTCAGTCAAAGCCCTGCGTTGCCCTCCGCCTGGACTCGACAACAGCTTTTTGAGAGGCGAAGAGAGTGCCTTTGCCCCAGCTGGGCGGATATGATGCTTTCGAATACTGGGGACCTCCTTGAACATGGGTGGAAGATCGTCGTCTTCGTTATTCAGTCCATCGCCATTGGACTCAGCCTCGGAGTTGCATTGTGAATGATTGGGACTTGTTTCTGGGATACTCGTCAATCGAGCCATGTCACCGAGATGCTTAAGACGTTGATTCATAGGTGTCTCGGCCACACGGGATGGCATCGATGAGTTGCCTGCAGTTCCCTCTTCCAGCCTGGAAAGCGATGAGTTTACATGTTGCTCCGAGGGGTTGCTGGAATATGCTGGTATGTTCCCGTGAAGGGGTGCATTTTGAATGGGTTGAATGGTAGGACCATTTAATACAGAGCCATTTCTCTGGGCATCATTGTTCGAATGTCTTGATTGTGGTCGCGAGCAGGGAGAGGAGGACTGAAGACGGTCTCGTGCGGGAGAATTCATATGAGAACGGGAAGGCGACCGATGGATCCTGTTCACAGCGTTGTCGGCTTTTATGCGTTTTTGTGATGATTGGGGTGATGGCTGAGAGTCTTTTACCATGGCCTGGGAAGAACGCATGGCACCATTCGGCTGACCACCATTGTGGGAGCCCAAGGAGCCTCCAAGAGCCACCACATCCTCCAGTTCTTCGTCTACTCTCACACGAGATGGGGAGGGAATTGGCTCAAACCCAAGTACTTGAGATAGTCGGTTGTGGGCACTAGCAGCGGCGGCGGCAGCAGCAGGATCTAGAGGAGGTCCATCGTAGTTCTCTTTGTCTTCTTCGGCTGAAGATTGAGGAAGCTCTTGTGACCGGGGTACTTGCATATCTTCCTCTTGCTCTGTTTCTTCCTCGCTGGCAACAGCTACTATCATTTCATGGTCTTCTTCTTGTTCATCTGGCTGTTCGGGAGAAGTCTGTAGTCTGGCAGAGAGATTCAATGTAGATCTGGCAGGAGCACTCAGCCCTGCGAACTGAGCCGCAGCTTCCTCATCGATTTCTCGCTGTCGTCGTGCACGTTCTATAAAGCTTGATTCCTTGTAGAATTCCTTGTCACTTTGGTCCGACTGGATATTGTCGGCCGACCGAGTCAACCTCTCCCCCAAAGTTCTGTCGCGCTTTGTCTGCGATTCCTTCATCGATATATAGTTCATGTTCGGTTCGGATGATTCTCTCATGAACTGGACTGGGAAGCCCGTCAGCGGAGAAGAGATACCATTGACAACGCGAGCAGGTTGAATCGGGATATTGGGCGACGGACGATCCGATACAAGGTCCGTCTGTAGGCCGTGGACAATGGGAGACGATGGAGCCTGGGTAGCCCCGAAAACCTGGCTTAGACCAAGGAGGCCGCCACTTGACTCGATGCCACTAGCTAGCGGGTTTCGCGAGATGCTCGGGGTCTCGTTTGTTCCACTCTTTCCGTCATTTCTTTTCACCACTGTGCCGGGTGTTTCTGCTAGGAACCGTTGCGATTCGGGGAAGAGATCGGGTGCGTATGCCATCGGAGAAGACTCGTTCGGATCGAAGTTGCTCTCATCGTCGTTATCATCGTCGTCTTGGGAAAGGTTCGTTCCATGGTGCGCAGCGTCGAATTCGGAAATAAGATCGATATGGCCACTGTCGCCCTCATACAATGTTCTCAATGTCGCTCCATCGGCCCCTGTTTGTGAATAGTCTTGTTGCATGGACTCTCCGTTTTGCCTGATAATACTGTCGTACACCGACTGCGAGACAACCTGAGTATCCCCAGGAGCAGCCTCTGTGGAGCTCATGTTGCCGAATTGTGATCCGGGAACAATGCCCGCTTCGTTGCCGCTTTTATTGGACATCATTGGGCGTCGTTCATACTGCCGAGGTCGAGACGGAGAGGGTTGGGGTTGGTGCACAAGGCTCGCGGGGTTTGATGGAGTTTTCGGAGGTGGGTGTTGGCCGGAGCACACTCCATCACCATTGGAAGCACCGTTAACTTTGTGGTATGTGTAACAAAGAGTGTGCTTCGGCTCGTTCACGATTTTTGCAGATCTTGAAATGTACGGCTGAGATGGATCATGCTCCTGGGGATGTCGGGGTTAGTCCAATGAGGGCGAGGGACGCTGCAGGGTCATTACATACTAGCCCCAACGCGTCGCGTTGCAACTTTGCAAAGTCGATGCTATCATCCTGGGTCTCCATTTTTTGACGACATCCAGTCGCTGGAGTCTATCACGTCTTAATGGCAACAGCAGTAT